TTTAGAGGGACTGTAGTCTTTACATGGCCCTTTTTGAGTTTCCATGTTAGTTTCCGGGAGTGTATCCCTAAGCTGAACCCACCAGTAGGGCTCCCCGTCAGCATGGAAGGGAGATGGTCCAGAAACGGACCTCATTTGCAACACAAAGGCGGAACTTCCAAACCAATTAAGCCCCCTTTATCAGAAGGTTTCGGGTGGTAACAAAAACTTAAGCTCGATCACGCACCTCTTGCGTCGTAGTGTGCATGGAAGACATGACACGCCCTAGACCCTAATCCCTAAGACGTTATCCTAACTTGACTCCTAGCCCGTATCCTAACGTAAATCCTAAACGGACCCTAAACCCTGATACCTTATCCTGGCTTATGTCCTAAACTGACCCCAAACCCTAAAACCTTATCCTAACTTAAGTCTTAAGCCCTAAACCCTAAAACGTCAACCCCAAAGTCCTAAACCCTAAACCCTAAAACTGAAGGCTACTCCTGGGCTACAGTGGTAGAGCTCCTGAGCATCGCCTTCCAGGACAGCCACAACTCTCCAAAGAGTTCTACTTGGACCCCGAAGTATGCAGAGTGGGTTCAGGGTTTAGGGTTTAGGATTTACGGTTTAGGGTTTAGGATTTAGGGTTTAGGGTTTAGGGTTTAGGGTTTAGGATTTAGGGTTTAGGGTTTTTCGAGGTCAAGGTAGAGTTAGAGGTTCAGGTTTTGAAGGTTTAGAGTTGAGGGTTCAGATTGTAGGGTGGAGCCTTGGGTTTAAGCCTCCAAACAGGGAAAAGGGGGAGAACAAGAGGCTTCCAAACGGCTTCAGAGCTTGATGCATTTGAATCTGCAGTAGCGCTCTCGAACGAACTCATATGCAATTCTGAGGAAACTGTAAGCCCGAAACCCTAAAACCTGAACCCTAAACATCCCTAAACCGGTATTCCTAAACCCGAAACCCGGATACCTTAAGCCAAATGCGTGTCCCCGCAGCTTCGATTTTCTGTCACTGATCAGCTGAACCAAACCCTATAGTGTAAAGCCTTTTCCTATGAGCCCATGTAGCCGCAAGCTTTCAGACTATATGAGCTATAGTCTAGACTCCTTCACAGGGGTTATACAGGGGGTTATATACTAATGGGGGACTATTATCTGGGTAGTTACCGGGGATGCTAGGAGTTTCGACATATGCTTTCAAGTGACCACCTAGTCAACGGGGACAGTGATCTTTGTACATGCAGATACTGTTGATGGATGACATTTTGCACCACCTAATGTCCTTAAAGTAATTTAGGGACCATAGGTGGTGCAAGATTTCCTCCATCAACAGTATATCCAACGTTGCGACACCCTAAGCCTTCAATCTTTGGCCGTAAGCTGTGCCTTGATCCCAACCTGAGCCTTGAACCCCGACTACTCAACATGAAGCCCTATAAACCCTACCTGAACCCCAAAAAGTATGTAGAATGATCGCGGAACTGGTAGACAAGGCTGACTATAAGCTTGACCTCCCTAGTACACCAGGCTTTCGAAATCAAGAAGTGGGTTACTTCACAAACTGCTTCTCACCACAGCCTTCTGACCCTAAGTTTTAGGTCCCAAATACACCTGTTAAGGGCCGTGTTTCATGGTTTAGGGACCCAAACCCAAGGGTTCAAACCCCAAGGCTACACAGGAAAACTCCCTGATCTGAAACGTGCCCGTAAGTCCACTTGTACGCCTGCCATCTCTCGGGCTATTTTTACATATTGGGTTATATTGGGATAATGAAAAAGAGAATGGAAACTGCAGTGATTGTAGGGGTTAGGGTTTAGGGGTTTAGGGTTTAGGGTTTAGGGGTAGGCCCCTGGGATGTTTAACATTTTCCCTAATGGCTTTACTAGGGGACCCTATATATTGCTGTTTTTCAAAACGTTTCAGGGGCCAACCCAGTTTAGTAGTTTTAACCCCAGATTCCCCCAAGTCCTGCAAATTCTACAGGGTGGTGACTTCGGACGTGCTCTGTCTGGCGTTGGCGAAGATGGCACCTCGTGGAAACCGGGGTGGATCTAAAATAATGGCGCTTTTCTGTGGTTTAGGGAGCTTTTGTTGGGGTATGCTGCGATTTATAGGGGCTCCGTATAGAGGTTCAGCTGTTCGATTGAGGTTTCAAGGTTCAGAGGGTCTCATTTAGGGGCTGCCTAGAAGGAAGTGTGCATCGCTTGGCAGGTGAATCGAAATTTTGTCACTCCTACTTACCTCAAATCCCTAACCCCCTACCACGCGATGTTGTCTCCACCTCAGGAGCCTGCGTAATTTTGACCGTTACTCCTTCGCACTTAGAATCCAATTATGGTACAGCAAGCACAAAAACCCTGTTCAAGCCATTTGTGAGAACAGAATGTGCTGGGCCAGAGTTCACGCTTGGACGCGGCAGGATTTGCCAAAATTCGTTGCCCTGCCAGGGAGCGTCATTTCTCTACGCAAAGGCTTCTGGGCAAAAGTACAGCTTTCAGGACCCCCCGAAAAATTTAGAACTATATCCTTCGGCCCTCCTAGCGCCATGTCTCCATTGCAACTGTGGTCTGGCAGAGGCAAGCCATCACCCATGTCTCTGGGTCATTTCTTCTTGGCCATCAACGTGGAGGCCGGTTGCAATTTGGAGCTTTAGGGTTTCAGGGTTTGGGGTTCAGGCAGTCAGGGGTTTCGGGTTTAGGTGGTAATGATGACCCGACATGATGGCGAACTTCTAGAACTTCATTGCCACAACGACCAGAAGCCTAAACCCTAAACCCTAAAACCCTAACCCCTAAACCACTGTTCATGGTTGTTGCTATTTCTGTTGCCCCTACAACTTACTTTGCTTCCGGACCGTCCTACACGTTGAAACTACTCTGCAAACCTAAACCCTCAACCCCCGAAACCCCTAAACCCTCAACTCTAAAACTCCACAGATACACTCCCCCAAACTAACATGGAAACCCAAATTGTCCCCTTTTAGAAGGACTGTAGTCTTTACAGGGCCTTTTTGGGGTTTCCATGTTAGTTTCCGAGAGTGTAACAGTGCAGGCAAGCGGCTAGAAACTATCTCTAGACGAGGGAACCCGAAGAGGATCTTGCGCTTTGCATCCTGTCAGAAATGTGGATACCACCCATCAAACCCTGTCACAGAAGACAAAGTGGTTGTTTCATGGCGAGTTTCAGGGGTTAGGGCCTTCCAGTTCACAAGTTATGATTCACAAGCTTTCTTATCCTGGCAACTTCTCAATATTACTTCCACGTGTAATCTGGATACATTTATAAGCTTCAAGCCTTGCGCCCGGTTTGGCAATTCCGCATGTGTATGTTCGAACACGGTAGGGAAGCTCAAGTAAAAACCAGGAAATACAATATAACCCCTCATGCGCAATTATCGCTATAGAGACACTACCTCTTC